TTACCCTGCAATCCATTAACCAGCCCTTCTCTGAACTTTCTCCAAAATATCAATATCAATATCCTTCTGGAGATATGGTCTCCAGTACTGCATACATTATTCCAAGCTAGGTTTTACCAGTACTCTGTAAATGGCATTAGCAGTTCCCTCTTTCCACTGCTAATACCGCTCCTTAAACAACCAAGTATTCTGCTAGAATTTCCTGCTACTCTATTACATTGTCTGCCTACATATAAGTTATCTGAAATAACTACCCTTAAATCCCTTTCCTCAGTTGTTGAGGTTAGGACTGTATCAAATATCCTATACTCTGCCCTTGGGTTTTTATGCCCAAGATACATTATCTTGCACCTATCCACATTAAATGTCAGTTGCCACAGCTATGACCATTTTTCTAGTTTACCTAAATCACTTGCCATTTGGCTTACTTCTACAGGAACATGAACCCTGTTGCAAATCTTTGTATTATTAACAAGAAAAACATACTTTCTGCAATATCACTAATAAAAATATTAAGGAGAATGGGTCCAAATACAGATCCCTGAAGTACCCCACTAGTAACAAAACCTTGCTTTGAATATACTCCTTTGACTACAACCTTCTGTTGCCTGTCACTCTGCCACTGCCTAACCCATTCAACAATATTGGAATTTGAACTCAAAGATTGTAGTTTATTGATAAGACTTCCATGTGTGACAGTGTTAAAAGCCTCACTGAAATCTAGGTAAGCAATGTCTACTTCACCACCTTGATCTATTATTTTAGTTACCCAATCAAAAAAATCAATAAGATTAGTTTGGCATGATGTCTTTGACCTTGAAATCCATGTGATTTTAGATGTTCAACAATCCTATCCTTAAACATGGCTTCTATTACTTTCCCCACTACTGAAGTAAGGCTTACTGGCCTATAGTTGCCTGACTCCTCCCTACTATCTTTCTTGTGAATTAGCACAAGATTCACTATTTCCTATCTTCTAGGACTACTCCCATTAACAATGATTGGTGAAACAAATCCATTAATGGTTTTGCTAGTACACCACTAAGTTATTTATTTTAACTAATGTTTTTTAATTTTCTTGCAGTGCATATACTGAATACAAGCAGGCCTGAGGTACCCCAACGGCAGTCCTCGAGCTTCGTAGCATACATGACAATTGGGGTATTAGATAGGCAGTGCACAATTTTATAATATAATAGGTACAGGATAAACATCAGGCTTATATTAACATGCGTTATATTGAGGTTTGTCATATCTGTCTTGTTTTGTAAGGAGAAAAACAGTAGGTACTTCGGTGGCAGTGCATTTAAGTAACTATGCTGTCGAGATAAGAATGAGTAGTGCGTCAGGAGTCTGCATAGAGTGTATAACGTGACATCATGTGAAATGCCCTTATATGTGAAAACGGTATAGTGAGCATGCTTATGTTTCAAAAGGTAAGTACAGCTATGTCGTCCCATAAGGCAAAACAGTCATGTCTAAGTATAGAGTCAGGCTTTTAACCAGTAGTTTGCCTCAGGAGTTACAAAGGCTGTCTCTATATAGCTTGAAAATATAGAGCATAACATTCTGAATTGGGATCCCATACGTTTAAAACGCATCGAGTACCCCTGGGTCTATAATGCATGGACAGTAAAGAAGACACTTTTAGGACTATTAGATAAGGGTTGTGTAGCGGAACCACTTTTTGGCTGTCTCATTCCCTTTTATTGATTTTCCTATGCCTGGAGTACACAAAACTCTAAGTAACAGTGTATGGACTTCTATTAGACTGTATATAGATTGTGTATAGGAAGGTGTACCCCTCCCCCGTTTCCTGTCCCATTGTTCTCCAGCAGGGCGTTGTCCCAGGCACACTGCCAGACTAGTTGGAACTGGTTTGGGCTGGAAAGCCATGCTTCAGTGGGCCTAAAGGGACCTCCACAAACTTAAACCCCCATAACTCCTGAACCCCTGATCTGGTCTGGGTGATTTTTGGATATGTGTCGCACCCAGATCAGGGGATGTAATATTTAAAGGGGTACTCCTAGGTTTAGGGGTACATCCAGAAAACCAGGGGAACTGTGTCCTGCATAATGGGATTATGTGTCACACTAAGGGGAGGGGATGTGTGGGTGGCAATTCGTGTATGATTGGTGTATTGAGTATTACTGTAAATCCCTCCCTTGCATGGGAGAATGCTTTAAAAGAAGGTTGTGTGATTAAAAGTTCAGTTCTACTCCTGATACTGTGTGTCGTCCAGTGATTGGGGAAAGTGATGGGATATTATTGGATTGTATTGCTGATTGTGCTGGATATTCTATTGGATTTACTACTTGTTCCTGCATCATCTTAAAGTACTTGGTGGAGTTTAGCTGTGGGAAATCAGCTCTCCGCTACAGGTTGTTCATTGTCACTTTAGGCCATGTAGCGCAATTAAGCTATGTAGTTTAGGTCAGGCTGGGTACAAGATAAGTATGAGTAACATATTAGGCTGACTTTT